TGAACACAGAAACAGTCTCAGTAAGGTTACTAAAATCCCCCAGATATACCTAACTTTTTAATAGAAGTCTTCCTCAGTTATGTTCTGTCCACTCATGAACATATCTTTTAAGCACAGAGAACATTGAAGGGACAGATACACAGCATTAGAAGAGCTGCCAGTTCAAAACTGTCGTGTGCATCTTTAGAAGGCCAAGATGCATGCACACAGTACCTAAAGATTCTGCATACACTGTTTAGGAAACAATATATTCAATTTTGCAATTTTGTAGATCTGCCCCAATACAGATACAGTTTTCCATCTCTGTCAAAGTTAAATGACTGCCCAAAATTATACGTATAATTATTTACATATTTTGTAGGCAAGCTAAAAAAATTTGTTTATATTGTTATATATATGTATATATACTAGCATGTGCTCAGAAAGCAAAACATACTTTAACTATACTAAAGATGCCTATTTTAAAAGGTTCAGTTAAACTATGGTGAAATTTATTCTTTACAGCAGATTTCTAATAATAAAACAAAAGCAACAAGCATTCCACTTTATGAAACCAGGAGGAAACAAAAAAATGCCACACTAAAAACTTCTTTGCATGTTCTATTTGTAGTTATTCACTTCTACGAAAAGAATGACCTTTAATTAAAGCATTTTCACATAAAGCTAAAAACATCTTCACTAAAAGAGTGTTATTTATTAACTGAATGCAAACTACAGACAGTGCTACAGACAGCTGATGTTGTATTAACTGTTTTCCGGGAAGATAAGAGTTGCTTCACTTCTGCTGTACCTGACACAATACCTTTACTCTCAGTGGGAAGAGTCACCAGCACAGGGCCACTGAAGTTCCACCTTTAGTATTTCAGATGGGCAGTTTCAAATTTAAGATAACTCAGGATGTTAAAGTCAAATCTAGACTTTAGTCACTGCTACACCTTTGACATGACTGATATAACCTGTTACAACCTGCTTTCTTTTCGCCAGGATTTTATCCCGAGAATCAACCACTTTAACAAAAGCAGAACTGGTGTGACACTGAATTCTAAATACATTGATACTGACAAATACTAATGCAATAATTTCCTATTGATGAAGCTGTTATCTTCCAGGAAAAACCCTAACTCTATACAAGGCACATCAAAAGCATTAAGAAAGAGCCACATTTATTATGCTTTAATTAAAAACAACATTAAAGACATTGTGATGAAATGGAGAAAGTTGACTGCTTAAAACAGAAAAGACCAGGGGACAAAAGGGTCAGATCCAGGCAACATCTTCACAGTGTATGAATGAACAGAAATTTGAATCACATCATTCTGAATCACAGAATCAGTTAGGTTGGAAAAGAGCTCCGAGACCATTGCATCCAACCTATGACCCAAGACATATCAACTAGATCATGGCACTAAAGCGTCACCTCCACTATTTCCTTGAACACCTCCAGCTGACTCCACCGCTTCCCTGGGCAACCCATTCCGATGTCCAGTCACACTTTCTGTGAAGAAATTTTTTCCCATGTCCAACCTAAACCTCCCTGGCGCTGCTTAAGCCTACAATGAACTACAATGCAAAGTTAAGATTACTATTTTCCATGTCAAACTAAAGCACTGACAGGGCTCTGAAGTTCTGCCGAAGCTGCTCTGCTCAACCCTCAACCTCGGGTAACTCAACCCTGGAGACGAACCGGTTTAGCTCCCTGGTTATCAAGGCACAGCGGCTCCAGAGCTCTGCCAGACCCAGCACACCGTACCCGGCCACTTCTGCCCGGCTGGAGGGCGTCACAAACACCGAGATTTAGGGGTTTTAATCCCGGCCTTCTCTGCCCAAACCACAGCAAGCTTCTCGCTATGGAGACACCCACCCTGGGCTCCTCCGGGGCAGGTCCAAGGCCCGGAGCCCGCAACTGCCGCCCCCGGCCCGCCCGCTGCTCACCCGCAGCGCCCGCGCCCGGGGCCTTGCGCCGAGCGCTCCGCGGGGAGGCAGCCCCGCCTCCCTCCGCCCCCCTGGGGCCGGCCGGGCCCCTGCCCGCCTCTCCCCGCCGGTACCTGCGGCCACGGCCCCTTCACATCCCCGCCGGGAGCGGCGAACGAAGAGGAGGAGACGGGGGCGGGGGAGGCCGGAGCGGGCGGCGGGAGGGGCCGGTGCCCGCGCGCTCCACCGCCATGAGGGGACGGGACGGGACGGGAGGGAGGAGGGACCGGCAGCGGGACCGCGGGCGGCAACGGCGGCGAGGGCGAAACGGCGACCGGGCCCGGCAGCCCGCTCCGCTCCGCGGGTTCCGGCAGCGCCCGCCGGAAGGGGCGCGGCCCCGGCCCCGCCTGCCGCGGGTCACGGGCGGCCTCTGGCAGCGCCGCCCGCTGCCGGGACGGCGACAGGCTGCTCCCGTACGGACACAGCTGTGCCTTACCAAGCATCGGCTCCGGCCCGCGAACACCCCTGCGACGGACCCACAGCGCCGCGGAGCACCTGCAGCCGTGACAGGCCACTCCCGCCCCGGGCGCCCCGGCCACACCCGCGCTACCCAGTTCTTACACTGTCACGGAAAGTCACAAAATCACTGAACGGGTTGGGTTGGCAGGGGACCTTGAAGATCCAATCCAGTTCCAACCCTCCTGCCGTGGGCAGGGGCACCTTCCACTAGACCAGGTTGCTCAGAGCCCCGTCCAAGCTGGCCTTAAACACCTCCAGGGATGGGGCATCCACAACTTCTCTGGGCAACCTGTTCCAGTGCCTCATCACCCTGACAACAAACCAGTAGAGCGTAAACAGAAGCATCTAAGTACTGATAGCTAAATTCAAAGTTTAAAAGTGCCTGTGATCATGCCAAATGCTGGTAATGCATACACATACATATTCCTGAGTTAAAAAACACTCATGTCTGAAGCTAGTCAATTTAATCTTCCCGTTCCTCTCCTGCTCTCCACCCTTCAAAAACACCTCTCAACCAACCTAAAGCAATAAGTAAACTTCCTCATGTTTCTTCAACTGCTAGTTCTGCTTAGCATACTCTCATCTGTTCACACAAAACATGAATTCAAGTGCTTTCCATTTGGCACAAATCTTTAAATATTTACTTCAAAGCCAGGGGTTCTGCTCAGTAACAGAAAATACTCAGACCATCTCTGAGTAATTTACAACAGCATGGTATTTCAGGCATGTTTGCTGAGTATCTGGAAAGAACTCCAAACACGAGAACGGTGGTAACCTGCCTAACTTAACCCATTCTTGTAGGGAAGCTCGGCCACACAAGCCATCTTTGTGACCCATGGATTTCACCAGGGAGGTGAGCTAGCGTAGGCACTTCTGCAAGGCTATCAACAGGGTTTTTCAGGGATTAATATCTATTATGTGTATAAACAACTTGTATTAAAAAGATGGAGAGCAAAAATATCACCCATACAATGTCAGGGAGCATGACTGAGTTAGGAGAGTCTGTGTTGTGTACTGACTGACTCTCGTGCAGTGATTTCAAATGGTATAGACACAGCAAAGGGGTTGCATGAATGGCACTGTGTGCCATCCACCCCCACCTGCTTTCTGGTACATGTTCCCTGGGCAGAATGGTGCCAGCCGGCAGAGTTTTAAAGCATCCCACCAGGATGGTGAATCCAGTCAGGTCAGTACCTGACAGAAAACTGATTACGGAATCAGGAAGCTCTAACAGGGTCTCTGATGACCACATCATGTTGCATTCACGAAGACAGCTGAGCAGAACAATGAAGTCATGTCTGTGAGTCTACACATACAACAGGTGCATTGTCACATACAAATAACTTCAGGGACTGGGCTTAAGACTTAAACTCTTAGAACAAACCTCACAAAAAAAATCAATGGAACTTTTTTTTCTTTTGACACTATCAGATTTTGGTCTCTTAACACTCTTCCCATATGAACTGTGTTGGTGAGATAAATATGCTCAGGATTGATTATGTCCCAGACTTTCAATACCGATGGTGTAAATGGCATTATTTGCCTTTACCACAATGCTGCTGCCTTAGAAGACTAACTCCAGCGATGAACAAGAGGAAAACAAAAAGCTGAATTCTCCTGATGAAACATGTTCTCAAAAGAAACACTCCTCTATGCTACCTACTTAAAAATCAGAGATGCTGCATGCAGAAAAAGCCTCTAGTTTTTTGGACTATCTTTGTATATTGCCTTAATATCATCAGCACCTCTAAAAATAAAATTACAGTAAAGAATCTATGCCAGTCTTTTCCACTGCATATGTTTAATATTGAGAGAATTTTTTTTGTTTAAAAATAACATTAAATTTTGACCAGCAGTAACACTGATGCATCCCCTAAACCACAAATGCCTGAATCACAGATCTGAAACTGTTCTTAATCATAAATCCCACCATTAAAAAAACACCCAACCAACCAAAACTTAACACACACACAGAGATTGTAAGCCATGTGTTTGCCAGTACCTGATGCCAGGAGCTAGGAATTTCAGATGAAGGATTAGATGGGCAGTCACTGTAATTTTCCAAGTGATTCTACAGGAAGCTCTTGTGACAGACAATAAATTAGACCAGTGACTTCCTTAGAGCTGTTGCCATTCAATGCATACCCAACTGTGAAGCAGTAGATCTTGAAATAAAAGCACTAGCAAGTAGCCAGTGTACAGCAGTGCAGGAACAGAGCACACGTTAACCCTAAAGACACAGTTTAAAGTGACTCGGGCCTCAGCTAACATTTCTCCAGAGAAGTGTTCATTCTACCTGTGAGCAAACTTCAGTCCAATGATGATATTAAGACTATATAGCCTGCTAGTAGACTCCAGTATAGGACAACTGAACCCTCAGTGTGGCAACTGATCAGTACCCACTGTGCCCACAGAACCTGCTGATCTGAGTAAATGCAAAACTGTTGTTTTATGAAAGGGAAATGGAAATAGTTTAGGCTTATGAATTGGGATTAGGCTGTAAAGCAGCTAGGTGTGAGGGAAACTTGACTTTTCCCCCCATGGGATAAAGAGGAATCACAAAACAAGCATTGAGCTAGAAATAAATCATTTATTTTAAAACAATACAGGTTAATAAATAGATTAGTTATCAGAAAACTTAATAAATAGCCTTTAATAATTTACACAAGGCAAATACAACATGCCTATAACTATTTTTTAAAAAGCAAAGAGAGTAAGCTTGACTCGTAAGCCGTTAACAAATCTATATATACATTATTCATAAGCTAATAAAATAAACCATTTTTATGTAATCTGTAGTAACTATATTGCAAGAGCATTGAAGCAACCAAACCTGACACTGTATGTTTGTTGCCATCCACCTTTTCCCCATATCCCATTAGAACTATTTTTTACATTCCAGGAAAAAAAAAAAAGTAGGGGTGGGGGGGAAGAAGAGAAAGTTCCACAGTTGAAAAAGGATTTAACTTAAAAATACCACTTTTGCATAATATTTTCCACTCTGTAGAGCAACTGCCTCAGGAGGGGGGAGGACATGGGAGGACCCAACACAAGAACAAATAATTTAAAAACGCAAACTTATTTTCAGCTTTCAAAAAATGATTTCTTAATCCATAACATTTCAACACTGCTGTCTGAAACACTTGGGCACTAGTAATAATAACTGCTGACCACATTGGTGCCTAACACAGTACAGACTAAAATTCTGCATTCTTTAAGCCCATATATAGCACCAAAATTTATTACAAAGATAACAGGTAATAGGTAAACATTTGATAATGCTTGATTTAACAGTAAAACTTCAGCAGTTACACCATCTCAAGACAATGAAGTAAGATCTGTAGAATCCTTGACGTTTTGTATTTGTGAAACAAGAACGTGAGAGGGGCATAACATGCAAACAACTGCCCATTTAAAGCACCCCCTATTTATAACCCTAAACTTCTTTAAATACAAACCCTCTATTTTTTAAATAAAGAGGAAAGGTAAACCTCACTTTCTAGTGTTCCGAAAAATTAATCCAGTGTTTCCACTTTTCAGTGCTAGTTACTTCAGAAAAATACATATGTTCCAATATAAATCAGTATTATTAATAGGAAGCTTCACTTGTCAAACTGTGATATGACAGGTTCCTATGTTAGCTGCAGCTCACTAATAAATAGGCTCTATTTACACATACAGAGTCCTGGAAAGTCAGTACAGCAGATAACTTGTTTAGACATTTTTCTTTTTTACAGAAGTACTTAAGATGTAACAAATTTTTTTTTTTTGGTTGTATCAAAAAGGTTTCTATTCTCCTATTGGACATTTGAGGGATTTTTGTGTTTGACACCTAATAAAGATTGTGACTGACATATGCAAATCCTCCATACACTGAAGGGATAATGATCAAAGAGCTATCCTCAAGTGAGTACCAAGTAAATATGTTTGACAAGTATAACAGAAGTCAGACATACAGAGTGAAGTGCCTTTCATAAGGATTTGAATTGAATTCAAATGCGTTCCACCACTGCAACGAGTCCACTTTTTGTATGCGTAGCCTCTCCCACTTCTACTTTGGAATCAGAACTGAAGTCATCTGCCTCCCAGCTATCAACAGACATAATACAAAGAGAATGGGAAAAGGGCAGACCCACAAAGGACACCAAAGCTCAGGAGACAACTATGCACATTTGCTCCCTGAGATGATGAAACTCAGATATCTGTCTTATTCAAAGTGCTTACTTATTAAAGGGGTGAAATAAAAAAGAAAAACAAAAAGAGTGAACAGCTAAAATTCAACTTCAACATTGCCTTCTTTTAAATCAGAAAAGCAATGGGACTAAAAAAGGTAGGACACCTAGAAAGAGGAGGGTGTGGGATGGAGTGGGGGAGAGCCTTATCAACAGTGACAACAGGAAATGCTAATACATTTCTAAAGTTAGAACTGAATCAGATCCAGGTACAGCAGAACTCAAAAGAACACTGCTACACACTGAACAAATAGCAAAAAGTAAAGGTTTCCATTACTTAGCATTCAAGATGTAGAAGGCTGCAGATACAAGTGATGTGCAAGGCCACAAGAATTTCTTTCACCTTATGTGCTGGCTTTTGACATCTCTGTTTTAAACATTAAGGGTAACTAGACATTTCTAGAAAGATCACAGATGAGGAGCAGCTGGAGAGAACTATGCAGACATTTATCAGTTGTAAGGATAGTCAGAGGACCACAGAACATGGCTGCTACTTTGTTCTTCCTCTGCATAGTGAGCACTTATCAAGTAAACTTTGTGTGGAGCAGAAAGTAGCAAGGTTTAGACAGGGCAGTCAAGTTTATTTTAAATCTAGTATTAACTAATAATTTGCATATGCACCCAACATAATAGGACAGGCACTTTATAAATAATTAATTTTAAAACAAACCAAGACAAACAAATATGGCCAAAGGAGGAATAAGATGACATCACAATCACTTCCATTCTGACCTAAAGATTTTCACTGAAGTCTTCAGAGATTAAAAGCTAATATGAAACCAACATGCAACTCAGGAACTCTGAATTTGAATTTTGAAAAGACAACTTGACTGCTTCAGAAAACAGCTAACATTATTTTAAAAAGTAGATTAACACAGGTCTCAGTCTATGCAGAATTTGTTTCAATCAGAAGAAAAGGTAACTAGTATGACCAAATACAACTGTTTGCTGAGAATCAAGAAACCATCTTCCAATCAATAATGGGCAGAAGTTAGTTTTAACCAGCTTCTGTAGCCCAATTCCCCTCATCTTTCGAACTTTCTAAAATCCATGTACAATATTTGAAAATCCATGTAGATGGTCCTTTCTCTGCTAGTGCTACTCTGTTTCAATAAGATATCCAGTTACTGTGCTGGCCTATAACAAAGTACACTTTTGCCAACTCAGTCACTCCCTTGCAATTTGGAGTTATAAAACAAGCTTGCAAATAACATAGTAGGACTCTCACTCCCTCAGAACAATCCCTCCAGAATACTAAATTTTTAGGATTCACTTTCACGATTATTGCTGCCATTAGTAGGGCTTATAGCATTCATTTTAAATTAAAATGGAGGCTGAGTTTTAAGGAAACATTAATTCAGGTTAACAAAAAAGATCACGAGAGCAGACAGTATTACACCCTGCTAATTGAAGTCCATGTTCTTGTCAGGCAGCCACAAAGCTACATTCACGATTTCTGGATAAAGTGTCATGAACTTTCTCAAATACTGTCTTGTAACCACTTTGGGGGTTTTTGTTTTCCTCAAGAGACATCCTGATCTAGAGGTGTTGAGCTCCATGGTACTCTTCCAGGTTTGCACTTACATGGAAACAAACATTCACTGCTTTGTAAGCTTTCAAGTTTTTGACTCATGATGTTTCAGCTACCAAATATAAGTAGAACATGAACATTAACTGTTTCTTTCTTTGACATATCAATATCCTCTAAATGGTTTAAACTGTTTAGAGTCATTCCCATCATAGCTTAAGGTATCTGTACTACTTGTCAAAATATTATGGCTGAACCATTCACACAGGTCTATAAATTACTGGAGCTGAATGTGTGTCCCTGTCAGTTATCTAAAACTCAGCTCTTTGAATGCCTAAGCTTTTTTGGTCTTTAACCTCATTTTCCCATGTTACAAGAGAAATCAGACCATCTTCTATGAGCTATGAGAAAGCTCATGCTCTCCTCTCTCTTAATTTTTTTATGGTCTCTATTTATTAGCTGCTTCACAAAATGGTCTCCTGCATTTAGTCACTGAACTAAAATGAAGGTATGCTGGGCTGTTTTCAACACGCCTCCTGTAGATTACCTCTTCTCATTAGGATTATGAGTTTTTCAGAAGCTGTCAAGGCATCTGGGGGTTTCAGTTCACGTTTGTCAATTCTTCCAAATATATATGGGTCCTTCTAGATACTTTATGTGTTTAGAATCTGAATACAGTCCAATATTATAGACAGTGAAACAGAATTATTAAACCAGTATAGGCCATCTGAAACAAATACATTCACAATTATGCAGTATTTTTGGATTGCAAAGGCACTGAAACAGTTCTGAGCTGCTTACAAATAAGCCACCATGTAGGCAATGAGTCTGTGCATCATTTCCATATCCTTCACAGGCTTTCTGTCTGCTCCCAATTAAAAACTGTGAGATGAATGCAGTATGTCTTAATGCAAGTGTTACAAAGAAAAATGCATACCTGGTCACTACCATCAGCTGATAAGTAATTAGTGAAACAAATTTAAGGGTCCACTGCTCTGTATAAAGAATTAAATTTAAAACTCCCCAGTCCTCGCCACATGGCAGACAAAGTTGCCAAGACAGTCATTAAAAAGGACAAATCTGCAGTTCATGGTTCAACCAACATTTATCTCAGAATTCACAGCCTTCATGGTGAACACGTTGCTATACTGAAATTAACAAATTCTTCCACTTTTATTCCTCCTTATTTTAAAGGTACACATCACTCATGATGGAAGGTGTCAGATTGAGTGAGTTAGAAACTGATGTTCTCTGCCACAGAAATGGTACCTCAGAAGTCACAATACAAGCTTTCACATGCAGGTCTGTCAGAATATCCACAGACCTTTTCTGAGGGACTACCTTTTATAGTAAAGAAATTCATCAGTCTCTATGCTGACTCAATCAGTGGTTGCAGTTAAGGTCATTTATTGTGTCGACTGGGGTACATGGACAACTGTTCCTTTGAAACTGGATGGAGGCCTCCAATTCATTTCATATAGGCCACCAAATCATCAGAGGGTAGTTACCTGCCTGAATCCCATTTGAATCAGTGACCTAGAAATTAAAGACTCTGCATCCTTCCCTGAGCCATCCAGTTTCCCCTCAAAAAATATTTTAATCTGTTTTCATGTTAGGTTTATTTAAATCTCCAATATTGAAGTTGAATTCCTTGAAGACTTGTATAAGAACAATTCCAATAGATACTGTGGTGAATCCACAAGCCATTCCCAAAAAATCTACCACTCCTACATTACTCCATTCCCTGAAAAGGATGGCTGAAGCCAGCAAGACTAGGGTGGTAAACACAACGTAGTAGATGGCACCAAACACAGAGGAGTCAAAACATTCCAGTGCCTTATTGATGTATCTGAACTGAATGATAATGCTACATCCTAATACTGCCAGAAGTACCAGACAGAGGTACAGAGCCCTTTGACTTGATGGGTTATTGTGAAAGATATCTTGAGCAGCCAGCCCAATGCCTTTTGTACTGGGAACAGTGAAACTGCCCAACAGAGAGCAAATACTGATGTAAACCATGATATTAGTAGGTCCATGAGCTGGAGCTATCCAGAAGATAAGCAGGAGAAGCATTAGCAGCACTATGCAGAGATAACCCACGAAAACTGGAAAACAAAAAGGAAACAATAGCAAGGTGAGAACTCCTGGTCTTCTAAAAATTTTAGCAGGCAAATCATGTCATACCAGTGAACTTCAGTATATATCACACTTAAGATTTGCTATTGAATACAGATCCAAATCACTGAGCTTCTAGAGATGTTGTTGGCATCTGCAACTGATGATGTTGTCATGTTCTTTGAGTAAAACAAATCATCATGTAGTCAATGACACACTGTTGCACATTTGAAGTGGATTTTGGATGGTTATTTTTATTTTATTCTCTCTTTCATCAGGACTATACTTCTTAAAGTCTCCTCCTATGACAGACAGCAGGGACAACACCTCCTTCATAACCAGTTCAATAAGGTATGGTGTGTGGATCCAGCAAAGAGCTTAAACACAAAGTTAGATCCCATTAAGGTGAGCAAGTGGAGTAGGGACAGCTGGAAGAAACATGAGGCCATATCACTTATAGCATCAGTACACACATTAGATCAGTGAAAAACATCTCATGCTTTACAGTTTTAAAGAAATACATTGCCAATTCATTTTGTTCAGATTTAAATTTAAATGTAAATTTACACCAGGGTATTTTTTTTCTTTGTTTGCAGATTTTTTGAATAGCTGATGTTATTAGGTTTGACTTTCACTTAAAGCAAATAAAGGAAAAACAATAGTTGTCAGTTTAGTTCTTAAGCAAGACAAATAAAACTGGGCCTGGAACATATTAGCACCAGTATGTGTCCTCCAGCAGCTAGTGAGAAAGAGAAAGGCATTTCAGCTTATGTCTCAACAGCCTATTTCTCTACAACAGCCTATTTTTTGCTTTATTGTGCCATTGTTCTGAGCTTGCTGTGCAGGACAATGTTTTCAAAAGTATTCACGTTTTCCTTTCTGCACACAGATCTCAATAAATATAACAAGTTCTAAGTAGAGTAAGGCACAGTTTTCCTACACAAACCGTGTACTGGTTTCTCTCTGTCATATCATGTTTTCTTCAAAAGTCAATTTTCCTACTTGATAGAAGTGTTAAGTCTCTTCCTCCTGCATGCTCTTGCTCAACGTCACAAAACTGTTACGAATTAATAAAAAACCACAGTACCTGGATTTGTAAGCTTCTCTTCAAGCTCAGCCTGAGTCGTCACACTCTCGGACTTTGGGGAATGGATGATGAGAACAACAGACCCGGCGCAGCTCAGCAAACATCCCAGCTTGCCAAGAATGTTCAGTTTCTCTTTCAGTAAGTAAGAAGCTAAGATGGACCTTTCACAAAGAGGAAGAAAAATAAAAGTTTGACTACATCCTGTTAATAATGTTCTAACAGTGTTGTGCCACATGAACTTCCTTCTTAAAGGAATATTATCAAATGTCAGTGGATCTTCAACCAAATGTTAGTGAATCCTCAGAATGTATTTCTGACTTATCTTCGGAAAGATTCATCCACCATTTGCAGTTTTACTCAGTCCTTGACATCTCACCTCAGGAAAAAAAACAACACAACAAAACAAAACCCAAACTCCAACAAAACTGCTAACCACAACACCTCAAAAAACAGCACCACATCACCTCAGCAAAAAAAGCCCAAAAACCCAAACCCCCTAAAGCAGACATCTGGCCTCCAAGGCAGTTATCTACCCATTCCTAAATTGGTGAGCTGTGACAAAGCCCCATTTTATAGGTGCTAGGCAGTCAGGAGATAAAAGTGACCTTTAGTTACAAAGATCACAGGGCTCAGCTCAGACATGTAGCTGACCAAAGTACACAAAATTATGTGGCCTAGAATAAAATAAGAGGTGGTAAGTAGAGCACCATCAGTGTGCTTCATAGTGTATAAAACTAAAGTCAGCCATGAAGCTGATGCAAAGCCATCTACACTCTGAAGCAGATGGCCAGTGCAGTCAACAGAAAAATCTTGAGGCAATGTACAGCTTTGTTTTTAAAGAGTTGTGCTTTTACATTGCATTAGTTCCACGACTGTAGTTTACCTATTCACAAAACATTTAGTTGCATATTAAAGTCCTTAAACTCATTGCCTTTTCTGTGCCCCCCTCCAACATAACATTTAAGAAGCTGGGGCTTCAGGAAAGGGGCCAAATCCAACGAACTGAAAATCAGCATCCATAAATACATGTGGGCTGTGCATAGCAGGGCAAAGAAAGACTGTGAGACAAAAGGAAAGCACTACTTAGTAAGGGAACTGTGAATAAGAGAATAGGCAGAAGAGTCCAGAATAACCACAGTGAAGGGAAAAAAAATGTTTATCTGTTCTGAATCATAGTAATAGCTAAAGCAAAAGGTACTCACGAAAACCCTTCTTCACCACTGTCTCCCCCTACCCCCAACTTTTCCAGGGAAAACAAGAATAGGTGACATTATAACACATCATTAACAACATAAGCCCAACATCTTCTTAGTGGTCCTTCAGTGAGCACTGAGTCCATCTGACATTTTATTAAGTAGTAACAACATCCAGATAAGAACAAGAAAAGCAAACTCTTACCCAAATGGAACGCCAAGAGCTCCCAAGGGCGTCACTAGTACAGTTGGGACTGCAGTGTAGGCCAAGAAATTCCCTATTTGACCCAGAGCCACTGAGAAAAAAAGCAGAAATAAGCCTTTAAACCCCTTTGTAAGAAGAAGTAATCAAAACTTACCCAATATTGTTCAGGAAAGACTGACCTAACTGGAAAACAGATGTTACAGATTTGCTTAGTTCTGTTAATTTTGCACTTAAACGAAATGGTTGGGGTTTTTTTTTATATTTCTTTATTATTTCTTAATATAGGATTTATATTTGCCACACAAGAGTATCCAAGTGGGCACAGTAAATAATCTCTTCTGTAACTTCTCTTAGTTGAACATAAGCCTTTAAATTAGAAGCACTCATGGGTTACACTCAAATATCTCAGTATTACACTTTAATATTTATATGAGGAGGGCTAAAAGTACATATGACCCATGTTTTCATCTTTAGAATGTGCATGCACATAAAAAAATGCACTTGATTATAGTTCCTGACAGTAGTGCTACTTTTTTGGGAGGAAAAAAAGGACAGTACTGAGGAATCTTCTAATGAAATCCTAAGTACATGCATAAGGACTCCTCAATACACTACATCAAATAGCACTATATAACATCAAGAGTCATTCCTGACCACTGTAAAAAAACAGGTCCCTGACAAGTCATAGAAACAGCCTCAAACCTTCTTTTTCTTTCCTCCAATTCAAATAAGTTCCAAGATGTACCACACTATTGCACATCACAGCTGTGATAACAGTTCATGTGTTCAAGCTTTCAGTTAAAAAATAAAAGCTGGGTGGTTTTGCAAGTGCTGGCAAGTTTATAATAGATCAACGTACTTGCATAGTTACAGGGTCTGTGGTAACTGGCAAGAAGCTTGAGATTGAGCACAAATTACATACAGCTCAAATTTCCAGCTGCTCTTAAAAGCCATTATCAGCATTTAAAAACATTTCAAGAATCCAAGATGCCTTTATGCTCAAGCTGGCATTGCCCTCAACTATCAAATATCATTACCATCATCCTGTTTTTTACACCTGCAAAGTACTGTGCAAACATTAATTAATTTACCAATTTAGCTCACATTATCAGTAGAGCTGAAGAACTGTGTAACCTACAGGAAACATGAAGGAGACAAACAAACTTGCAAAACTGCAGTGTGGCAAAATTATACTAATTAAATTCACTGAGGTTTTCTCTACATGCAGGAGTGAGCCAGAGAACTTGATGAGCAGCATTTCTAAAGCAGAAGAGACAGTGGTGGTCTCCCTGCCCCTGGGAACAGAGTAACTGCTATCAGACTCAGGCTTAGTTTTCAGATATATGTGGCAACCTCTGGCATTATCTTCAGGGCATCTGAAGGCCCTGGGGCAGATCGTGGATGCAGGATGGAGCACAGCTGGCACGCTGCGCTTCAGAAGATTACAGACATTTCCAAATAACTCTGACAAAAGGTTGCTTTTTTTGGAGGTCAGGTGTCTTGACTTTCTGTTGGAAGAACTCCTAACAGATGGCACCAACAACAATCCATAAATGAGGTCTCAGAAGCTTCAGTCAAACCAAACATATTTCAAGGCAACTGAACTTACTGGAGGATTTCCGTATCACCATGGGTATGTTAACAGTCCCTAACCACTATGAACGACACACCAAGACTAATTAAGACCAAATAAAAAAAGAATCTCATTAATTGTTACCATCTACCTGATGATGAGGAGGACCTTTGCTGTCAACCTATCCAGTCCTCTCTGGACAAAAATTCCTCTCCAGATACATCAATGCTGTAAGTCAAAACATGACTTCAATTCTTGAAGGCACACCAAGGTTTAACCTTGGTAAAGAAGTACCAGTAGCCCCAAAGTTACTGCAACACAAAACTTGATGCTCACTGACCTGTCTACATTAGCAAGGAGATCAGGAGTACAGAAAAAGATATCTGCTCTAGGCATGTCAGGGGCTTTATTTCAGGCTAACTTCTGCCTGCTCCCATGAACTGGAAATCTACTTGTAGCTTGTATGCATTAAGTGTGTTCCTAGACTGCATCTTCCAGCATAGTTTCATATTAAAATCCAGTTCAGGAACTCCAACTCTGCTATGAAATGGGAAATAAAGGCCAATCCATGGTGACAAACAGGAGATTTGCTTCACAAGTGTATTTATTCCCCATCTGCAATAAAATAATAACACAGATAGATCCACTATAAAAAACAGCTGCCTCTATGCTGCCATCAAAACCTGCACTGAAACTAATTAATTAGCCAATTAATTAGTTTAACACTCATTGAAATACCTGTACACATGCTGCAATCACTCTTTCAACTACAGTGAAAGAAAAGTCCCTTAGCAGAACCTGCAGCCCTTCCTTTGAAGTCCTCAGTAATCCAGTGGATCCCAGGGCCCCAAAAGAGTTAGGCAGCGTTATGCTGAGTCAGCATGCCAACACAGAAATGCTTGTTCACCATTTGAACAAATACCATGAAAACAAGTTGATAGAGTTTATGGGGGTTTTGTTAGTCATCCAAACTCCAAATTCCCTGCTTGATAAAATTATATCGGGTGCTATAATTTCATCAAGATAACTGAGGATATTGCTAATTCCCCACAAGCACCATTCTCTGCATCCCATAGGTGCCTACCTGGCCCTTGCTATTGCTGTTTGTGACTTTGTTGCCTTACTGAGTCTATAATATCGATAACAATTCTTCTTGGTTCCTCTGTAAAGCTACTGAGGCTTTGTTTTGAAATACCTGCATCTCGCTACTGGAAAAAAAGCCAACTGATACCATTCCCTTCAGCTGCTTTGCCTTCATTCAATTCAGTCAGCTCTTTTAAGCATGAAATTGTTTTCTCTGATTCACCAGGATAAGTCCTGTAATAAAACCTCTCTTATTTTAACTCCTTCTGCTCAGAGATTAAAGATGGGAGCCTCATGAGTGATAAACAGAGACTGATGCATAGATTTATTTCTACTTAGGCAGTAGTGACCCTAGCAGAGGAGGAAGCTGAGAAAGAACTACTTAAACTCAGGTTAAATTAGCTGAAGACTTTCTTCTGAAGCTCTGTTGGCTTTTACACTTGTGAACTTTGTCCTTCAAAGGGATCTATCAGTTTTTGTTCCTTTTGCATAGCTTTAAGACAACAAAAACAAAAAACAGAGACTTACCTTGCTGCCACAAAACCAGAGGCACAACTGGACTCTTATACTTCTCAGAAACAGCATCAGAACATTTCCAAATAATTCACAAAAGGCTGGATTAGAGTCTAAAAGTGGGCATAATTTTAAGCTTGTGGGTAGAACTAGGGCTGACCTGCAAGAGGAGAAAGCTAGTTGCTCCCCATGCTCCACATTCACATCAGAGAATGAACTTGGTGTGAGCAGGGTTTACAAAGAAATTAAGGGTAAAATTACACTGATATCAGCACCACACAAGGCTTCATATTAATCTTGCAGATTAAAAGCAAAACTGAAACTATATCTGTTGAACTAGAACTCAAAAAGAATCTTTTTTTTTTAATCGAGGCTGGTTAAGCGCTTTCTGATCTAAAAAATAACATGTGCTCAATGAGCCCTTTTGTGCAGAGCGACAATTTTTAATTCATCTTTGACTTTTATTAAAAACTGAGCAGGCCAGCACAATCCAGAGACACAAACCATGCAGGAACCCAGAGTCAGAGCAGTGTGTGGCTGCCAAGGGCTGCAAGTACCCAGTGGTTTGGAAGTGTGGAAAGATGTCTGACTCATGTTTGTCCCAGCTCTTTGCTTTCTCAAACACCAGCAGGCACGGTAGCCAGAGTGGTGGATTACTAATGGTGGGATATTTCTGGGGATGGGAATTTCATGACAAATGAGTATGAGATTCAATATGAAAACCCAGATTTCCTGATGTCTCGTATCACCATTGAAGCCCAACTCCTCTTAAAAAAAAATTCAAACCTTCTAAGATACTTACTTGCAATAGTGCCAGACCACCATACTATATCTGTTAAGTATGAAGTACCTGAAAGAGGAAGTATAGGAAAACATAGTTATTAAGGACCTCCATCTTAACCTGATTCTTCATGGCAACTGAGTGTGAGGGGGAAAAAAAGAATAGAAAGTTCTCGGATTTGGCTCATGTGTCCAAGTGACACTTTCTTAAGACAATGTATTGGTCAGAAGTTCTGATTTCCAGTATGAAGTACCTATCTGATGCTAATGTAGTAGCGTGTAGAAAAGCATCCAAAATGCCACCAAATGCTTCTGAGGGTGACATTTAAACATACAGATTAAAACCTATAGGAAACCTATGGAAACAGAGTATGATTTGGATCAATTAGTTTTCTAATATAAATTCAGTGAAATTGTTTCAGAAAAATTGTACCAGAGAAATTGTTTTGGCACACAGGTTGGCAGGACCATGGGATAGACCAATCCTCCTGCATTTAAGCACTGAGAAGTGTTATGACTGAAGCCTCTGAATTCCTGATATCCTGCCCTGTTTCAGAGAGAGGAGTAAAACCTCTGGATTGACCCATAGTGCCTCCCAAGTTTGAGGATGATTACTTTCACTGTCAGTTTATAGGCTCTTGCCTTGGGATGTGCCCATGTGGAGCCTCTGTACCACATTTTATAAGTTCTGCTTCTGTAGAACGTCAAGGCTTTCTAAACTGAAGCATGGCCTCCTCCAAGCACAATCTTCACCTCACATTATGCTTCTGTTTTGCTCCTCTTTCTAGTAATGCAGCTCTGCATTTATTTGGGAAGATGCTCTCTCAAAAGCCACTGGAGCAGTAGACAATATTGTACCTACCCTGAAATCCCAAATGAAAGAAAAATGCAGTCATCTATAACTCTGGAAATGTATAAAGCACCTGGAAATCAAACTATATAATTGAAATGAGATGAAAAATGACTAATGAAAATGGCCAGCTTTTGAGTGGGTGTAATAAGTTTTTAGGCTTTTGTTACTGCATATAAAATAAAAACACTGTTGGAGGCAGAAATTATAGAAAATATTGACTCAAGTAAGGTAACTTTGAAAAATATCTGTCACTTGCTGCTGTTTCAAACCAGGCAAGTATTACTAATTGAATTGATACTATATTATTGATTGAAGAGAGAGGGCAGAAAAGACTTGAGGTGCCTCCTTGTTAATTATACAACACCTGCTGAAGCTAATGGAAAAAAGACATCATCTGACACGGACGATCTTGGACTCACAGCTCCAACTGCTAGGTTCGAGGCAGAACTCCACTGCTTCGTAACATTAAACAGAGAGAAACCTGGGGTATTTTCCTGGATGCCTCCACACTGAGCACAGCAATAGAAAGTACTACGAACTGCTCAGCAAGATACACAAATAAACATCACTACTATCTTCAAAACAGGATGTTTTACAGCTGCTAGCACTGAGAAAGCAGGCACACGCCCATCACACGCTCAACTCAGTGCTCCACTGAAAGCTCTTCAGGAGTAATTAGACCCAACTATACTGCAAAATGGAAACTTCCCCCAGCTGCCTTGGGATGGAAAGTTGTTCCTTTCTCTTGTGTTTTCTCACTGTTTCCTTAAAAAAAAAAAAAAATTGTATTTATGATGCAAACGTGATCTCTCCGTGGACAACAAAAATGGATTACAGCCATCTTGGAGAGAAAGGGAGACTATACTTGCAAAACCAAGTCTGAGGCCCTTAACTGTAAGGTCATTGCAGAAAAGGGAAAACAAACTTTTTAGATCAGGCTGGCAGCTGGTAGTGACATAGTTCCAAAGTCTGCTTTGCTCCACTGCATCCACTATTAACATGCTAAATGCAGCAGGCATGGGAAATAAACTGCTGCTCTAACATGAGCCACCTCAAGTACAAATATATATATTTATGTACATAGATGTATACAAAGGAAATACCTTGCCTGTCCTGGTCACTGAAAAGCATTTTTCAAAAGAAAGAGTTTCCAGAACCTATGGACACATGCTCATACACAGACACCATCACCTACAAAAACAAATGGCTACTGACTACAGTAATAGAATCCAAAGGGCTCATGTAACCTGTGTTTACAACTTTCCCCTTACATAAAAGCATGATACTAAGAACAAATACACTGAATTTTCCTATATTCAAAGCACGATGATGCAACTAGCAAGTGCTGTTCAGCTGCGTGCTTTTGGGAGTTCCAATTGCAAAATAAAATACAGAAAATCTTCACACTCTGAATATATAGTTTTGTTCTGGCCAAACTGTCTAGACAGCACAGTCAGTTTCTGAATACGTTCACCTCAGAAAACAATAATGAGGCATAGGATTTCAATTAAAAAAAAAAAAGAAATAAATTATTTCATGTTACTGGTGCATATTTCTTCTCAACAAGAGGAAAACACCGTGAGACTGAAGAACAATATAACTTGGAAGGGCTAGAATAAATAAGTGACAAGATGTGCGGGTGCTGTTCATGGCAAGAAACTAGCAAAGCCATAGAAACTGGTTGGAAAGTCCCATAAGTACATGAAGAAGAGGAACCTATGTACGCATGCATACAACACACAAGTCCCCAGTGTTGTGTTACAGGGAGACATAAGACCGGCGAGCTGACCATACATCAGGAAACTGTTGCTGGTGCCCACCTTCACCCACCCTCGGTGCTTTCCACCCGTAATACATCCTGACTGATCCCCACCTGCCGTCTCTCCGGTCATTTATCACCTCCCCGGCGCCGCGATCCAGCCACGGACCTCTGATGTCAAACACGCTTAAGCTGACAAACCGAGGCCGGCTCCTCCGGAACGGTGTCCCCCGCTCCAGGCGACACCGCCACCCCGTCGGCAGAGGCTGTGTCAGGGCCCGGGGGTGCCCGTGTCCCGCGGCAGCCCTCCCGCATCCTGCCCCTTGCCCTCCGGTCCGGCCCCGCCGCAGCGCGGGAAGGGCTGCGCGGGGGCGAGGCGAGGGAGCGGCCCCGCGGGTGGCCGGGCTGCCCCGGGAGGGGGGACCCGTCCCGCACGGGGCCGGGGGCGACGCCCCGCTCACCCGGGGGGTTACCGGGAGTGCCGAGGGGAGCCCGGGAAGCCCCAGAAGGGGCGCTCCCGCCCTCTGCCGCCGCATCGCCGGGCCCCTACCTCTCCCGCGGGCCCGCACGATCCCCTTCTTCTGCAGGACGAAGGTGGAGCCGTTCACCAAGCTGGAGACCACGGCCACGCTCAAGCCCAGCGACACGGCGGCGGGGCCGGGGCTCTGCGCTGCCCCCTCGCCCGCTGCCGCACCGACCGCCATCCGCATGGCCCCGCCGAGAGCTGCAGGCGCGGCGCCTGCCCGGGCCCAGCGCTGCCGGCAGTGGCTCTGCGCCGGACCCGCCCTGCGCCGGGACCCGCCCAGCACCGCGCTGCGCCGCGCCGGGGGCGGCTCCGGCAGGGAGCGCCGGCTCCTGGCGCCCGTCCCGCCCGGGGACGGCACCGGGTGGCGTCATGGCCGCGGCAGGGCCGCCCCGACGGCCGGTCTGACATCACGGCTCGGGCCGGGCCGGCCTGGGGACATGCCGAGCAGGAGCTCGGAGGTGCGAGCGTCCACGGACAGAGGGCTGCGGGAGGACATGCCGGGGCAGGCGGGAGACGAGGGAGATGTGGGAAGGTGTGCAGAGGGATGTAGGAGGAGAGGGGGATGGCAGCAGGGCGAAAGGATGTGGGGAGACGAAGGGATGCGAGATGCGCAGAGGGATGTGGTCTGCGGGACAGACGAGTCCCGCCGGGCCACGGTTTCTGGCATGGGAGCAGCGCTGCCTTCCAGCGCTCTCGCTTTCCTTCGGGGTTTTTAAAATTCATGTCGGGTCCCCGGTCCAGGGTGTTGCGGCGGCAGAGCGAGAGCGAGCCGAGGGCCAGGCGGGAGCTCGAGGCCCGGAGCTGCGCTCGATTCGCTCTGCCACTGTCCAGGTCAGTGTGCTGGGCAGAGCTGGGGAATCAGCGAGGGACTGTGTGGCTACGGACTGAGGAGGCTCGGCCACTGGCAGGAGTCATAGGCATTGCCTGAAAGCTGTAGGATCCATGCTCACTCCAATTTTGTCCAGCAGTAAATCCCAGAATCTACATTTATTTCCAGGAAAAAGTTCACTCTCTCCTAATGGCACAGGCAAGGTGAGATGCTCAAAATCAAGAACCTCACCTCCCCTCTCAACTATCGTTCAGTGTCTTCCAGGTTCTGGGAGGGCAGAACATAAGCCATGCTACTGGAATGGAGAAGGACCAGAGATCTTTCTAGTAGCAATACAGCTGGGCCATCATGGGGCCACGGATCTCTCTTTGAGAGAACTTAGTCTCTCAAAGATGAAGTGCTGAGCTGAAAGCAATCTTCCTTGCTCAGCAGAAATATTTTGTAGCAGGTATCTCATTGCAGTTCTTATCATTTCCAGATATATGTTGAAATAAATCAATCCATAATGGATTTCTGCGGCAACATCCATTTAGGGAAATGGGTTATCGTATCTTGGCTTAACATAAGTGAAAGTGGACATTTTGTCTTTTTTAACTACTTTGCACGGTTCTTAGCATACATTTTAGCATTCCCAGGAAATATGAATTTAGAGAAGAGGCGAATTCCTGAAAATTTTGCTCTTGTCAGCATATTTCTCAGTTTGCCTACACTGCTCAAGGCAGTTGTCCTAGGAAGGCACAGGAGAGCTGTGACATGCTTTTGTTAAGGTTTAGTGACAAGATAAGTAATACTGACTGCGGTACTGCCCGTATTTTCACCTAGGTTGCTTCACCAGGTCGTTGTATCTCTACTTAATGCTATGGAACAAAGGATTCATCCTTGTGAGGCTCACAACACCTGCAAAATGAGAACACAGGAGGTGGAAGAATGGTTATCCGTAGCAACCCTTGGAAACAAAGATAGAAGTGAAGACAAATACAGGCTAATTATAAATATCCGTTTCTGATCTATATACAGCCTAGTAACACGCACAGGAAAATTTATTACAGGAAATAATTTATGCTTGCACAGTGGAAAAATGATATATATTTAACAGCCTTTGCATCTAATTATCAGGCAAGTTTCTAAACAAAGCTTAAACCTGACCAGTTTATACTCAAAAATCTCTCTCTGGTGTGGTTGAACCAAGAAAAAAACAGTACAAGAGATGCGAAGAAAACATTTTATTTCTCTCTAGCTATGTAATTTTAATATTGTACTTGTAAAATTTATATATGCCTTTCTAAAGTACGTATTTGGATGGGTTATTTTAAATACGCTTAATCTGCCTTATTCAATTAGTTACTATTACATTTGCCATATAATAGGTGTAGTGTTCCTAAGGATTAGCCATAGGCTAAAATAATAAACACAGTGCTGTAAATATTAAATTTGAAAATAGCTTGAAAAACAGAGCCTGAATTCACTAATAATATCGGCATTATATAGCTTACAAATAATTTGGACCAAACCATAAAGGTACCTTGAAGAAAATAGTTGTTATCATTAGTTGAATGGAAATTAGATGGCCTTTCCTAAACTATTACATGTATAATCCTGTATATATGTATAGACTCCTGAGGTCTGTCTGATCTTCTGAGACTGAGTTTCATTGTGATAGCATTCCTCCTGCCCAAGTTGTGTCAATACATTTGTAATAAAGCAGAACAAAATGCCTTGAGTTAGTTTGGCTTGTACATTGCAATCTTGCAGTATTGCTGATGTCACAGCAGTCTGATACCTTGTGAACCCACAAAGTGCATAGGAGGAACCTCTGATTTATGTGGCGTTTCCTCCAACAAACTTTGCTCCCCTCCATCAGTCTTATCCAACTCCAGTCTAAGCACTCATAATACTTTTAGTTCCACACTTGTTGGCCACTTACTGCTAATTCAAGCAATATGTAAGAGCTGGTATAAAGAGTGTACAGGTTGCTTTAGCCAAGTAGCTAACACCGCCCTGATAGAGTATGGGTGTTTAGGATCAGTTGAGAGGTAGAAGCGTATTTAAAAGACATTTGTAGGGCTCCTACCCAGAGGAAGGGATGAGCAATTGAGGTACATCTGTTGGAAGCAAGTGAGCAAAGTTGGTAGAGGTTGCACCATTTTTTTGTAGGGGCAATGGACAAGAAGATAATGTGAAATTCCTTACAAAATAGCTGGGAGAACAAGGTGAAAGTTTACCAACAGCTGTATTAGACCCTGAGGCAACAGCAGTAAATCTCCTTGGCAGAAGAACTATAGAGATCTACCGTGCCAGCAGTTGAAGCAGTATGAACTGAGACTGTAAACTAAATAGCAAGAAGACAGTGACAATCCTTCTACTTTTTCCAGCTCTTGAGAATCAAAGACCACAATAAGGGCAGTTATATTAGGACTTCTTTAATGTTCCACTGAACCTAGGCCTGAAGGTGACCCAAAAATCCTTTCTAAGGTGCCTTGATTGGTTGCCTGGAGTATAAAAAGTGACTGGTGTAAGCAGGCCATCACTGGTTTGAGTGGTTCCTGCTTTGGCAAGGAAGTCACTTGAATCTTGGTTGTAGTCCAGCTCTTGATTTGCTATGGGCATCCATATCTGTTGATGGGAGAATATATGGAAACCTGCTTAAAGGTACTGCTCTGCACTGATGGGTTCTGTAAGCTTTTTGGCTCTCTATTCCATTAATAAGGACTTCGTTGAACTGGGCCAGCGAAGACAGTGTAGAGTCTTTGGAGCTTGTTATCGATGTGCAATTTTCAAAGTCTAGTCTAAATGAGTAATAGAGGTATGCTGCCACTTTTGCACAGGAAAAAGAATTCTCTGTTAAATGACAGTGTCCACTGTCAGTATTTCTGGCGTTTTGGGAGACTTTCAGCATCCTTCCTGAAGACATGGTGCAAGACTGATGTTAGGTTACTGACACAGAAAGCATAGCAGGTGTATTGCAGACAGACCACACCATTTCAGCTCTTCTGCGAGGAAAACAGATCTCTTCAGAGAGAACCTGCCCCTCGTGCAGCAGGCAGAAGCTAGACAGCTAGTTCTGATGGATGTTCATGATCACACTGTGGAGAATCCTTGTTAATTAATATCATACCTACTCACATTTGCTCTGCAAAAATCACTTCTAGAATCCTCTGTTACTAGGGAACACAGGAAAAAGCACAAATTTCCCAGTTGATCTTGTAGCAGATGCTAGAGTCCACCTACATTAGTTGCAAACTCTGACCAGGACATGTTTTTCTATGTTGATTTCTGGAAGTTGAATACACAATCTTAATGTGACAAATATAGTACATGTATATCCAGCTCCTTGTCCTCCTATATTAGGAATGTGGTAAAAGCCTAGTCCATGCAAGTGTTTTAGCACAAACCTTTAGAACTAGGCTTCCAAGGTATGGTCATCACTGTCGTCTTAAAAAATCCCTGGGCTTTATCACAATCTTACACAAGAAGAGTTTGCTTGTCTTTCCCATGCCTTGTCTTAGTGACATTATTCTTCTGTTTGAGCTAAAGGGAGTTCTGGCCCTTGTTTCAGACTTACAGATGTTGTCTGTATGCTATTATAAGCTTTGACATGGTGATCTACATCACTTCATAAGCTACATATCAAAATAGTGGGTAGTAATCTTTGTATCACCTATGATGAAAGTCTCTTCCTGTTAAGCTGATCAGCTGCTGAATTCCATGAGTGAAGACCGAGTTTTAGGGTACACCTTGGAGCCTTGGACAAATAAAATTCTCCCAAGTGAAGAACCTTGGAGGCACTCCTACTCATCCAGTAAACTCATTTGTAAGACTCACTGGGTAGGTCCAACGATATATATATGGATTTCCTACTGCATTGCTCCTCAGCAAAACATCTTTTCTACCAGACACCTCAGAGAATATAACAGTCAGCTGCCTGCTCAGAGATCAGTCTTTGTACACTTGAGTGCTTCCTGTACTCCAAAACCAGAATTTCATGATAAAGTTTATTTTGATATGGGTGCTTTTCTATGGGGCTTCAAGGCAGTTTTGTTGGAAAGCTGCAAATGCATTGCTGTGTATCTGAACTGGAATTTTTTGTCTTCAAACTAAAGAATAGGGTACCAGTTTCACCATGAGAATGGCCTATATTTAACTTCTTTCCTTTCAAAGCTTCACTTTCAACTGCCTGTGTATTTGTAAACTGTAAGCCATTGAGCTCCTGGGACCCAGGTATTCCATTCTAGGTGTTTACAATATGCCACCATAGTAATATGTTCTGTTTACTAAATATGTGCCTTTCCAGCAGCAAAGCTACATCTCCAGCCTCCCTCACCATTGCTCCTGAGGCCACAAAGAAGCAGTCTGTCTGCTCTGAGAGAACAACGCTGAGATCCTGGGACTCCCAGCTAATGGGCTTATACAGGGTTC